TTTAGCTTCCATTCCATACTGTTTCCTGGTATTTTCCCAATATTTGCATAGTTTTTGTGGAAATACTTGTTTTTTTCCTTGGGAAATGGGTATAATTATGTTTGCTGGTTTGGTTAGAAGTTATATGGATAATTATTAAATGTTGGATTCTTGGTTCTCATGCTGTTTATCTCTATAAATTGTGTTTAGGCCGAAGTCTATGTTGCATTTTTTTAGTGAAGCAAATCTGTATATGCATGAATGTGACTAGACGTACGAGTATGTTTTTATCCATGGATGAAATTGAAGTTATCGGATCATTGTCTAAGCTATTCGTGTTTCAAATTCTTGATTACAAATGAAGTGAAATATTATTATGCTTTCGTTTGCATTTTTGTCCAGTTTGTTTGGTTTGGTGAGTGGTTGCACATTGTTTGAATTGGTTTGGCATACGTATCATCGTTTCGGCCATTTTTTGAATTGTTGATTGAAATGTAGTGAATTATTTATGAAGCGTTTGTTCTATATAGCATAATTAACTCTTCATTTTCGTCTAGTTTGTTTGGTTTGGTGAGTAGTTACACAATGTTTGAATTGCTTTGCATATGTATCAGCATTTCAGTCTCACTTTTATTAGCATTTCACATATGTGTTTATGGATGTCTCAAGTAACTTTACGTATTTGCAGGGCATTCAAGCCTCTTTTAGAATAGGTTTGGCTCTTCCACGAGTAGTAGTAGCATCTACAGAGAGGCAGATTTCCTCTACGGTTTCAAAAAGAGCTTCTGAAAGTGTCTCTTTTTCATTCGCTCGGTACATAAATGGTAGGTGTTAAAAGAGTGTTCACTTCACTCACAGGCGATTACAATTTTTCTTCTACCTTTCTAGAAAATGAATTAGAATAACGAGTATCTCACCCTTTTATTCATGTTTAGGGTTTGGTTTTAGTTCGCTATCAAATTGGTCTCGTAGTCATGAATCTTTCCCTAGTGGAACATCCATAAGGTAGACCATTCGCCTAGACTTTTCTATTATTTCTTTTTGAATTTCCTCCTCAGAGTATCTAGTTGAATGTTCACTCGTTTGGATTGGGTTGTTTTTGGAACAGGTATTTTCATGCGAGTCGAGAAACATTGGCGAAAAGAAAAGAGGATGCTGATCGACTGCTGAGTCATCGTGAACGCAAGAAACAGACTGTGAAAACGAAAGGAAAGTTCTCTAAACGGGAGAAAAAATCGGATAAGCCACCTGTTGAAGCTCCTTATGTGCCTCCTAGGCTGAAAAGATTGGCAAAGGGATTGCCTGAGAAGACGGTCGACATATTCGAAGGGATGACACTACTTGAGCTCTCCAGGCGTACTGGTGAGTCAGTGGCGGTTTTGCAGAGCATTCTCATCAATGTTGGTGAAACTTTTAGTTCAGAATTCGACACAATAAGTGTTGATGTCGCCGAGCTTCTTGCAATGGTAAGGTGATTCTAGTTCCAAGATAATGGATTTCATAGGTCAATTAACTTGGTTATTAATTGTATATATCTTTAATTTTCAAAGGAGTTTAAGATTTTTCAGTTTATCAGATATCGAAAGAGCATAACCATTTTGACCAAATTGAGATTTTTTGGTTTCTTTTAGTTCAGATCAGTTTATCTGGATTGAATATCAATACCCAGTAAAGATGTCATTAGTTTTGACCATAGTACAATTTTTGTTTAGTTTTAGAATTTGTTATCCCGGTTTTGAATCGCATCAGATTGGTCCTCCAGATATTAATATAATTATGTTTGTGTTTTCTCATCCTTCGCAGGAAATCGGGATCAACGTAAGGAGGCAACATTCTACAGAAGGATCTGAAATTCTTCCACGGCCTCCAGTTGTAACCGTAATGGGCCATGTCGATCATGGAAAAACCTCGTTGTTGGATGCATTAAGAAACACCTCTGTTGCGGCAAGAGAAGCAGGTGGAATCACTCAGCACGTGGGTGCTTTCGTGGTGGGCATGCCGGATTCTGGCACTTCAATCACATTTCTCGACACTCCTGGCCATGCTGCTTTCAGCGAGATGCGAGCTCGGGGAGCCGCTGTGACTGATATAGTCGTGTTGGTGGTTGCTGCTGATGATGGGGTAATGCCGCAGACACTCGAGGCTATTGCGCACGCTAGATCAGCGAATGTTCCGATTGTGGTTGCGATCAATAAATGCGATAAACCAGGAGCTAATCCGGAAAAAGTTAAGTACCAGCTCACGTCTGAAGGGATAGAGCTCGAGGATATTGGAGGAAATGTTCAGGTGAGAGTTTTACTTGTCTCTGAGCTTTGTTACTTTATATCGGCATCCTTCAGAAATTGATACGGTTTGGTTCGGTTTAATATGGTTTTTGTTTCAATTTGGACTCGGTTTGTTAAAATTCTTTTTGAAGGAGAAGCTGCGGTTTTTGTCAGTTTATTCTTTTTTTTTTTTTTTTTCATTTGTGTGGTTTATCAAAGAAACTGAATCGGTTTATTTGCTCATCTGTTTGGTTAGGCAACCCTGGTTTGAACTTTGAAATTTTGTTTTGTTTTGAGTTTTGATTTTTTATCCACGATGGTTACTTTAACCATGGGGATTTGACTTGTTGTTTCAGGCTGTTGAGGTATCTGCAGCGAAGAGTACAGGGCTAGACAAATTAGAAGAAGCTCTGCTTCTCCAAGCTGTGGATATGGACCTCAAAGCACGTGTGGATGGACCAGCTCAAGCATATGTGGTGGAGGCTCGGCTTGACAAAGGCCGTGGACCGTTAGCAACCATTATTGTAAAAGCCGGAACCTTGGTGAGGGGTCAGCATGTAGTCATCGGGTCTCAGTGGGGAAGACTCAGGGCTATTCGGGACATGATCGGTAAGACAACGGACCGAGCAACACCAGCGATGCCCGTCGAGATTGAAGGGCTTAAAGGTCTTCCAATGGCTGGCGACGATGTCATTGTGGTGGAATCAGAGGAACGTGCGAGGATGCTGAGCGAAGGGCGAAAAAGGAAATTTGAAAAAGATCGGTTGTTGAAAGCAGAGGAAGCGAGAATAGAGGAAGCAGCAGCGAGAATGGAAACAGAGTCTGAAGAAGGGTTTGTTCGGGTTGAATTACCGATAGTAGTGAAATCGGATGTGCAAGGGACTGCACAGGCTGTTGCTGATGCGTTAAGAACATTAAATAGCCCACAGGTGCGTAAAACCGAAATGTTGATGTAAGGTGATTGTGCCTTATTGGCTTTCTTTTTTTGAGAATTTGCCTATTGTTTATATTGGATAGGTATTTGTGAACATTGTTCATAGCGGAGTGGGAGCAATTTCTCACTCTGATTTGGACTTGGCACAAGCTTGCAGTGCGTGTATCGTTGGGTTTAACGTTAAGAGTGGAAGTTCTGCTAATCTTTCTGCGGCTCAAGCCAGCGTCAAGGTACCCTGTTCTGTTCCAAATAATCGTTTCATATATAGCTTTGATAATTTCCAATGCCAACTTCTACGTTTGCTTTCACATTCATAACTTGTAGATAGCTTTTAACATTGTAACCAATGGTAATCTCTTAGGTATTCCACCACCGAGTGATATACCATTTGCTCGAAGACATTGGGAACTTGATCGTAGAAAAGGCACCAGGAGTTTCGGAGATGGAGGTGGCTGGTGAAGCCGAGGTACTTAGCATTTTCAAGATCTTGGGAAAGAGAAGAACCGAAGAAGATGGAGTAAGCATCGCAGGTTGCAAAGTGATGGATGGTCGGGTATGTAGAAGTGGACTCATGAGGCTGTTGCGAAGCGGAGAAGTAGTATTTGAAGGCTCATGCGCGTCGCTGAAACGGGAGAAACAAGACGTGGAACAGGTAGGGAAAGGGAACGAGTGTGGACTTGTGATGGGAGATTGGAATGATTTTAGAGTCGGAGATGTGATTCAGTGCATGGAGCCAGTCATTAGAAAACCTAAATTCATTTCCTCTGAGAGTGGAGCTGTGAGAATTGAATGCTGAGATCTACTAAACCTTAAAACTCCTTAAAATTAAATCTGATTGTTTAGGATATTGAATTTTGCCTATTACGCTGATTATTTTTTCTTTTGATATTGAAAACTATCTTATTATCAAAAGAAAAATTCATAAACAATAAAGTTTTGTAACTTTCTTCACACATTTAATATATTATTTGAAAGGGAAAATTCCATAGAAATAGACCAATTATTATTTGATTTTCTAAAAAACACACGAATATTCTAATAATTAAGGAGTTTTTTAATAATTAATGTGTGGTTGACAAAAAAATAAAAACACACGAATATTTTCTTAAAAAAATTTTTCAGTGCCCAAAATTTAAATCATAGATCTATTTTACCATATTTAGTAATCAAACTTTAACAACGATATTCACAGTGTTCACCATCATTTGTTATTTCGTTTACTAGCTAATTTTATCTGAGTTACGAAAATTAATTTATATGCTCAAAGATTCTTTCTATTAAATTAGGAAAAATATTCAAATCTAAAAAAACTCTAGGTATGTAACTAATTATTACTCCTAGAGAAAGTCAGAGAATATTAATCCGGTTATCGTACATTTCATTTGTGTTCAGACTTTGAATATTAAAAAGAATTTTAAAAAAAAATTCGTGTATTTTTTTGGGTACGCAAAAAATTCGAGATTTTCGAAAAAAATAAAAATATTTGGTGAATTCTTATGAAAAATTGCTTTTTTTTTTTTTTACATCTTTAGATCAACAAAGTCCGATCTATAGCTAATCCATACTATACGGGATAACGCGACTTAGTGGAGTCGAACTCCGGTGGGAAGGCGGAATCAAATGGACTTAACCACCTTACTTAACCACTTGACTTAAGGCATCTCTGAAAAAAAAAAAAAAAAAAATACACATAAACCTGGTTAACAACGTGTCGTGATGTGATTGGTTATTAGAAATGATACAGCGTGTTCCTGAACACAGTGTATCATATCCAAATTATCGGGCAAAGTCTCTCTGTGGTCGTTTAAAGAGGAATCATACGAAAACCAAAAGATTTAGGGATTTTGAAGATAAGAGAAAAAAAAAAAAATGCTTCAACTCTGCTCCGCGTTTCGTCCTCAACTTCTTCTTCCTCCTCGTCAATTCCGGTTTACTGATGGAATTTTGATTCGGTTTGTTTCTCTATTTCCCGAAATCGTTAGCTTAATTTTGGTTCTACCAATTGCTTCGAGTGTTCTCGAATTCAAAGTTCCTAACAAACCAATTGATTTGATTTTCTTTGTAACAGCCAAATAAACTTTGTTGGAAGCAATTCAGTTGTGAATATCCGGCCAGAGATACGATGCCAGAGAGCAAGCGGAGGTAGAGGAGGAGCTAACAGAAGCAAACCTGCGAAGCCTCCTGTTAAAGAAGGAAGCAACAAAACAGTAATCGAAGGTTTAGTAACCGAATCGCTACCTAATGGAATGTTTCGAGTCGATTTAGAGAATGGTGATAACATTCTTGGTTATATTTGTGGTAAGATTAGGAAGAATTTCATTCGGATACTTCCCGGTGATAAAGTGAAAGTCGAAATGAGTGTTTATGATTCTACTAAAGGTCGTATCATTTTCAGAATGAGTAGTAGAGACTAAGAAGTAAGAAGAACCGTTTAGGCAAGTTTGATGGGAATGAATCATGTAATGGTACAGAAGATTTTCTATAATGCAATTCGGGTTTTTCCGCTAAGCGCGTTGTTATTATGTTCTTCTTCTTCTTTTCCTATAATCTTAAGCATATTGAACGTTTCGGCCTGTCTGTTTTCGTGTACTCTGCACCATGGTAATTAGGTTTTTATCGGTGAAGCGAATCTAGATTTTTGATACTCTTGTTGTCTTTGCGGTTTCCTAACCAGAGGCCGTTGTAAAACGCCTCTTGCGAACGACATGTATGTACCTAAAAGCTTTGTCTCCGTTCCTTTTAAGCTAGCTCCATTCATATTTTCAGGTTAAAAGGGTTGTGAAAATTTTGAATGTGGGTTTTGCTTTTTTTTTTTTTGTTGAGTTTTCTATCATTCTATGTTCTTACTTCTCAAACATGTTCTTCCGTATGGACATAAAAAGCTTAACACGGTAAGGCAGACTTAATCGGGTTAAATATGTTTTGTATTAGCATGTAATAACGAGCCGACCTTAGCTCAGTTGGTAGAGCGGAAGACTGTAGTAGTTGCTGTAATCTTTAGGTCGCTGGTTCGATTCCGGCAGGTCGGATTTGTTTTCGTTTAAGATCTTTTTGTTGATTTTCTTTTTCTACTTTTGGGCTTTTATTCTTTTCCCGAGTTCAGCCCTAAATTGTGAGTAGGGCCCAAAAATATTAACATTGCGGTTCAAAATTGTGTCGTCCCTTTTATAGCTCAGCTTTCTTGTTTGGGTGGTAATTAGAGATTAGTTACTCATTGCAATTCTAAAGTGGTGGATCTCATTCCATTTACAGGCTTTCTTCTCCTCGATGTGGATTGAATTCTAAACTAGAAATCTAGAATACTTAACATGAACAAGTTTTGGTCGTTACCAAAACAAAAAACAAAAAACAAAAAAGTTTTGTGTTGTCTTTAGCTCACACCAAACTAGAGATAACCATTTTATGGGACGGGTAAGTTGTCCATTCTTTAGCTTTTGTACTTTGTGTTTTCTTAATCAACTAATTGTTAAGTGTAATGTAGGAAAAAAATGTATCCATTGTTACTTATATATTCTTAAGAGGGAATGAAATGGCTTCAAGTAAATAAAAGTAATACGAATGATAGTTGAACCATCAATAATTATTGAGTCCTAAAATCTTAAAATTCTATGTTAATTCAGAGATTTTGGCAATATAAGCTGGTAAAAAAAGACAAATATCAACAAACCAATATTATGTTCGTCTCTTAAACCCTCTTATATATACCAAAAGAAAAAAAATGAAATATGTATAAATAAAGGTTTCCGAATCCCTTTTTAGTCTTCATATCAAAACTACTCATTTCTACTTAACACTCTAACAATGGTAAATCAAATCTACAAACAAGTATTTTCCTTCTTCTTATCCGTTTTACTTCTCCAATCCAGTACTGTCTCATACGTCCGAAAGTCATTCGACCTAAACAAACCATGCAGGCATTTCGTACTTTACCTCCATAACATCGCCTACGATGATGATAACGCGGCTAATGCCACAGCAGCAACAATCGTGAACCCTTTGGGACTAGGGGATTATAGTTTCGGGAGGGTAATTATATGTGACGACCCTGTAACAATGGACCAGAACTATCTCTCGAAACCAGTGGCTCGTGCCCAAGGATTCTACTTCTACAACAAGAAGACGAATTTCAACACTTGGGTCGCTTGGACATTGGTATTCAATTCGACAAAGCACAAAGGGACATTTACCATAATGGATGCAAATCCTTATGGTATGGAGCCGACCAGAGACCTAGCGATCGTAGGTGGGACTGGTGACTTCCTCATGACTCGTGGGATCGCTACGTTGAAGACCAAACTCTCTCAAGGCAGTAAGTATTTTTGTTTGGAAATGAATATTAAACTTTATGAATGTTACTAATATGTGTGTCTTGGGATTGATGTTTGTGTGTTGGCATTTTATTTTCTTTATTTGTTTTAGTTGATGTTGTTCCAAATTTCAATAAATGGTATTGAAATATTTATGTTTGTAACGAGTTAATAAATAATAAAACAGTCCTTTGTTATATAGTTTTAAACATGCATCTATCAGATCTTTTATGTAATAAACTATTGTCTGATTTTATCAGCAATACTACAAGATATTTCCACGAAAAAGACTTTCAAGTATCAATAAAACTAAACCCTTATACTTGAATCCTTCTAAAGAAACATTAAAACCCTAAACTGATTAACTGGAACCTATAATTTTGGTTAAAGACGACAAATCGTTTATAAAGTGGATTCTTTGTCAAGGATCTCATTTTTCAGTTTACAGGCTTTCTTTTCCTTGATGTGGATTGAATTATAAATAAGAAATCTAGAAAACTTAGCATGGACAGATTTTTGTCGTTACCAAAACAAATAAACTTTGTTGTAGTGTTTTGCTCACACCAAATTAGTCGCCTTACATGTAAAGCAATAAAGATAACCATGTTGTGGGGAGGGTAAGTTGTCCATTCTTTAGCTCTTCTACTTTGTTTCATCTTAAATCAATTAATCGTTAAGTGTAATGTAGGAATCAAAGCATCAACTGTTACTTTTACATTCCTAAGAGGAAATGAAATGGTTTCGAGTAAATAAAAGGAAGACAAATGGAAGTTGAGCCATCAGTGTTTATATCGAGTCCTAAAATCTTAAAATCCTGTTTTAATTAAATGATTTTGCAAATATAGACAAATATCAACAAACCAAATTATCTGCGTCTCTCAAACCCATTGTTATATCAAAACAAAAAATGAATTATGTATTATGTCAATAAATAAAGATTTCCAAACCCCTCTTTCATATCTACAACATCAACACTACTCATTTCTAGTAAGCTCTCTAACCATGGCAATTCAAATCTACAAACAAGTGTTTCTCCTTCTGCTTATCAGTTTTACTACTCCAATCCAATACCGTCTCACTGGTTCGAAAGTCATTTGACCTAGATAAACCCTGCAAGCGTTTCGTTTTCTACCAACATAACATCGGATACCATAGTGATGACGCGGATAATGCCACATCAGCAACAATCGAGAACCCTTTAGGACTAGGGAACTTCAGTTTCGAGAAGTTTGTGATCTTTAACAAATGACAATGGACCAGAACTACCTCTCGAAACCAGTGGCTCGTGCCCAAACTTTTTTGATAACCCAGTATCCAGACCACACAGTGATCTGACTAGCCCACTGGGCCTAAGCCCACGTCACAGGGATTTTTAAGCCTCCACTTAAGGGCCCTCTGATAAACTGGTTGTCTGGGGCGCCTGAGCAAGTCCGCATGTAAATTCCTGGCCATAGGAGTGAGAGAGCGAAACTGCGTCTGGGGAGGATCGATCCCTGGCCTAGACCAACAGGGCGATCCTTCCAACCAAACGAGAACCACTCGCCCACCACCATGTGGTTAAAACTGCCCAAACTTTTTTATTCTACACCAAGAAAACGAATAACAACATTTAGGTTGCTTGCACATTGGTATTCAATACAACACAACACAAAGGGACATTGACCATAATGGATGCGAATCCGATAATGGAGCCGACTAGAGACCTCTCCATCGTTGGTGGGACTGGTGACTTCCTCATGACTCATGGGATCGCTACGTTACAGACCGAACTCATTCAAGCCAGTAGTAGTTCTGTTTCGAAATGGATATTAAACTCTATGAATGTTAATTAATTATTAATATATGTCTTGGGTTTGATGTGTGTGTATGTTGACATTTTATCTTTCCGTTTGTAATTGATGTGTTCTAAGTTCCAACAAGTGGTGTTCAAATATGTTTGTCATCGAGAGAATATTTGTTTTTTTCAATTACACATTAATTAAAAAATAACTCTTTGGTTGTCCAATTATGAGGAGTAGTGTTTACAAAAGTAACTTTAGCAAATAAAAGTATGCTTAGCCCGTTCTTCTAGACTTTTTTTTTCTGAAGTTACTTTTGTAAACACTACTCTTGCTAATTGGACAACCAATCAAGAAGTTATTTTTTAATTAATGTGTGGTTTAAAAAAAAAACAATAGAGAGAATCACTTTATGAAGATCTCTTTTCACTAAAATGTATACTTTTTTATTATACATTGCTTGTAACCTTACAATAATGAAACTTTTCATTTTAAAAAAGAAAAAAAGGAATAGAATCAATGAATAGTTAAGTATAGTAAAGCTAGAGAACAGATTATTCATTGTTACTTAAATATATCAAAACGGAAATGAATAAAGGGCTTGAGAGACAATTTATATATAGATGTATTTACTTGGTGGAAGAGTTAGGCGATTGTTAAGTAATAGGATTTAACTCGCGCTATAACACGATATAATTTTTGTTGTATATACTCCCTCTGTTTTTTAAAAGTTGTCGTTTTAACTGTATTTGGACAAATTAAAAAAAGGTATACAATGACTATATTAACCTCATAAAAATGACAAGTAATTATTTACAAATAATTTGTGTTCAATAAAATGAGGGTAATTTGGGTATTATTGGCATAAATTACATTATTACCTTAAAACGACAACTAATTTAAAACAAAAAAAAAACTCTAAAACGACAACTATTCGAAAATGGAGGGAGTACAATTTAAGTTAAATTAGTTTGATTCGATATGTTTAATATTGGTAGTGTTAACAAAATAACAAAATGATGATTTAATCCATATTGAAGCGTCAAATTAATGATATTTTAATTTTTATTGAAACCAGTCCCTCCATATAACCTGTCATCTGTATAACCCCTCTTGTGTTATTTAAATTTTTATATGTTGAAATAGTCATAATACTTTGAAATTTTTGTTAAGTTTAAATATATCACTTATAATATTTATTTTTAAAAATATTTACTATAGCCAGTAAAATTTAAGTGTTCAACTTAAGAACTAAACTAAACTGTATACAAACTTTTAAATTTGGATGATTGGTAAGTTAAGCTTCCTGTCATTCGGATTTCAATTCATTTTAGTTTTATTTATAATATGATTCTCAATCATTGCCTAAATATTTTAGCCGATATGGAACGTTGAATACACATTTTATTTTTTAATTAATTGTATAATATATGCTCGTATGTAAAAAATTCAAATTACATTACATGAACAAAAAAATTTA